CACCTTAGCCTGGGCGACAGTGAGACTCTAACTAAACAACAACAAAAAAAAAACAAAAACAGAAAAACATGGTATTGGTAAAATGCCTCCAGAGCCTCTGCATGTCATCCAGAGCCAACTAAAGTCTGATGGTGGCGGAGTGATTGCCGCGTCTGCTGAGGAGGCTTCCACACAGGTCTGATCAGGATCCAGTTGTCAGTCTCCCAGATACATTGTCTGTCTTCTGGTTAAAATTTCATTTATTCTTGCATGTGTTTTACAAAACAAAACCCAAATTGTGAAGTGTAGTCGTGAGGCTCAGATGAGTGGCGGGGACATGGACACCCTTGCCCTTGCTCGCTTAGGGTCTGTTGGGGAAACTGCTTTCTCCAAACACTGCGCCTGATGTGGGAGATTGCCAGGCAGGAGGATGGAATCCAGTCTAAACTCTCAGTGATCCCACAGTCATTATGCTCTGACATTGGGTGAAGCGTGCAAAGTGTATTGTATTTGTTTGTGTGCTTACTGCAGACATGATTAAAGCAATGAACGGAGTAGAAACCACAATGAAAGAACAATGAAAAAGGAGTCAGCTGATTTTTTCAAAAACTACAACTTCGAAAAATGAAAGCCATGGTCATTCATCTTTTATGATGAGCAATGTGATATGTTGTCATAGAAAATGCAGAGAACTGTGAAAAGAAAAATCACCCCATTCTCAGAAGCACCACTGTTAACATTTCAGTATCATTTTTCCTTTTCCTGTGTCCATGTAAGAGAGTGTATAAAATAGCTGGTATCAGACTGCTGTGTTGTCCTAAGCTTTTGTCACTTATCATAGCACCAGTAATTTTTCATGTCACTAATGTTCTGAAAAATTACATCTAATGGCTCCTTCATATTTTAGTAGTTATAAATAAACCATAGCTTTTCATTTTTACCAGGCTTTATTTCATGAAGCATTGAAGATAGTGTATCGGTTAGGAATTCTTTTTCACTTGCAAGCAACAGGAAACCTAATTTGAACAAATAAGATTTTCCCCTCTCATGAGAAATCTGGAGGTGGCTGATGGGGCTGGCGGGGCAGTGCCACAGTTCACAGCAGGTGCCCTAGAACTCTCTTAACCAACCTCCCATGCGTATTGATTCATGCTTGCCAGGCGGCTGCCCAGCTCCAGCACCACGTCTGTACGTGGAAAAGAAAGGGAAAGGATGGCACAGTACTGCCTGCCCTTTTCCTAGAAAACCAAAGCTTTCCCAGACGTTCCCCAGCCGACATCTTACACCTCACCGGACAGAACTGCCTTTTCTATTCACCTCCAGCCACAAGGGAGGATGAAGAAGCAAACATTTCCCTTCCCAGTCACATTAGAGTCAGGCGAGGGAGAGAAGGATGGGGGTAGGAGCTGGGTCGGCCAGAGCACGGTGTCAGCCATGGCCAGCCAGCACTGCTCAGGTAACTGTTCATCCTCTACCAGCCATTTCTGATTCCAGTCATTCCTTATGAGTAACATCACAACACGCCATGCACACACGTTTATCCAAGTCTCTGATTATACCCTTAGTAGGATGCCCTGGAAGTAGAATTAGAGGTCAAAGGTATTGTTAGGTTCATGCCTCTCATTCTTTTCCAGAAAGATCCACACAGATCCCTGGTGTGCTACCACATGCAGTGTCTGAATGCTGGACGCTCCTGTTCGGGACACACACTCTGTCGTCCTGTCTCTGGGACGCAGCCTTGGCCCCTGATGGGGCACAAGCAAGGCTCTGGCTGGTGGCTGGTCATCGTTCTTGTAGGTTGCACTCCGAGGTCACAAGTCTCTTCCAAGGGCATATATTAGAGTGTTTTGCAGCCCCTGGGCCTGAAGGATCTGGAGCAGGCTGAGCCGCTGCAGTCAGCTTCCCCATCCTATCGTCTGGTTTACCAATTGAATAAGTAGTTATTTGGCCCTGTGTTTCTCAGCAGGTGCACGATGGGCATTTGGGGTGGGACAGTTCTTTCCTGTGAGGTCACCCCAAACATGGCAGAACATTTTGCCTCCACTGGCCCCACAGGGAAAGGCCAGCAGCATTGTCCAGTCTGTGACGGGCAGCAGGCCCCTCCCTCATGGTGCTCTGTGCCATCAGCCCTGTGCTGGGAGCCAGCAAGGCCCCTGTCCCAGCAGCTCGTGTAGCAAGAACTGCTGGAGCATGTGCGAGGCTGCTGGAAGGGGAATGAGCTACCCACAGCGGCCTCTCCTCGGAATCCTCTGGAAAGCACATCACCCCGCTGCTCCGCCTGTAGACAGGGAACAGGAAAGGATGCCCATGCCAGCCCTGCCCTCAGAGCCAGGCCTAGGGGAAGGGCACAGGGGGCAGGTGTTCTCTAGAGCCCAGAGGCTGCTCTTGCCTGGGAGAGCTTGGCAGGTGGAGCTGTGGGAGGATGGAGAGAACCTGCTGGAGCAGGGTGGAGAGGAGGGTGTTGGGAGGAGGTGGCAGCCATTAAATCAGGGCGTGGCAAGGGGGGGAGAGAACCCAGGGCACCGGTGTAGGCCTGAGGTGGCCATCCCTGAGGGGACTGTGGAGGCAAGGGGCAGGTCAGCAGGCAGTGGCTGGACGGAGCGGGGCTTTAGGTTGGAGAAACAGCATGTGCGGAGGCGTAAAGGTGGCGTTTCAGGCTTCAGTGTGTCTGGGCCCAGGTCCTAATGGGTCTTGCGTGCTATCATGGTTTTGTCCTGTGCAGTGTCTCCCCAGACGCCTGGGCAGGTAGGGGCATAGATGCCACTGGGGGCCTGGTCCCAGCCCAGAGGGACACTTGGAGGAGAAGCAGGAAGTGACCTAAAATGGTTCCCAGACGTCTTTCATGGGGTGACTGAGTGGTTTCAAGTGTAGTAATTAAGTTTCTAAAGTAAAACATCCTCCTCCTTAGAACACAAGAAAAGATGCCAGCCACAATAGGAGACGAGAGACTGGGAGGATGAGTGAATAGTCAGCTTGTCTAAGAGCTCCAGGGGCCCAAGCGAAACGCTGGGAGTTTATTCTGAGGGAGAGTTAACATTCGTCTGTTTCTTTAGATTGTTAGTGAGTAGAGTTTTCTTTTATTTGCCTTTGAACCAATTCATAAAAATTAATATTTTTTAAAAAAAAATTTTGTTTGAGACGGACTCTTGCTCTGTCACCCAGGCTGGAGTACAGTGGCGTGATCTCGGCCCACTACAGCCTCTGCCTTCCAGGTTCAAGTGATTCTCCTGCCCTCAGCCTCCCAAGTAGCTGGGACTACAGGCGCGCTCCCCCATGCCTGGCTAATTTATGTATTATTAGTAGAGATGAGGTTTCACCACGTGGGCCAGGCTGTTCTCGAACTCCTGACCTCAAGTGATCCTTCTGCCTTAGCCTCCCAAAGTGCTGGGATTACAGGTGTGAGCCACCGCGCCCAACCTGAAATATTTTAAAATCGAAAATGACAAGTGTTTTCTTTGGTTCCACTAGAGACTGTGTGCTCACAGCTGAGACTGCTTTCCTCACTGCAAAGCATGGAGCTGTCTTTCTGTTTCCATTCCCAGCATCCAGCCTGTTGGGGCAGCAGCAACACGGGGTGCCATCTCGTCCCCTGTGTCTGCGGGCACTGCTGCTTTCTCAGCAGGCGGCCATCTCACCTCCCTCCATCCCTGTGGATGACCGTGGTCCCTGCTGTACACAGGCTCGGAGATTGGAAGCTGCCTGCCTGGGGATGTTTACCTAACACTTGCTGAGTTGGGCCTGGGGCTGGGCCTGCAGCTGGTACCACCTCCCACCTTGGGCTGCCTTCGTTGGAGTCACACCGCTGGGGCAGATGTGGCTGGTGAGCCCTGCCCAGCACCCATGGGCACTCTGACCCAGAAGACTCAGGATCCATGCCATCTCCCACACTGGCTGGGCTCCATGCACTTGTACCCTGACTGAGTCTGGACATGCTGTTTCCACCCCCAGACATCCTGGGTACCCACGAGTGCTGTTGGGTGACGGCCACTGAAGGCCTGGCTCTGCTGAGCTGGCCCCTGGTCCTGGCAGGATCCTCAAACTCTGTTCACCCCAAGGGCTTCCTCTGCCCCCATCCACCACCCCTCCAGCTCTGCCTAGAATCCAATGTGGGCACTCGGTCAGGTGAGGTGATTTCAGGTGGTTGTCAGTTGATGCTGAATCCTGTGTGAGAAGATTGTTCCCTTATCAATTCTGTTTCTACCCTAATAGTGGCCTTGGAGAGGGGTTTTGTTTGATACTAGTCTATTTAACACCTCTCCAGTACTCCTCATCTTCCTCTTTGCAACAGATAGAGCTTACACCCAGAGCTCAAGCAAGCAATGTCCCATAGAATGTATCAACTTCCTTGTCATCAAGGAATTTATTTTTTTTTAAAAAAGGGGGAGTAAGCCTTTATTTCCTCATTTCCAAAATACAGCTGACTGAATTGGAACATATTTACTCTTAAAGCTACCATCCATTGAAGGTATTAGTGGCAGTTTTCCATTGACAGTAGTAATGTAAACTTTGCTAGTTTCGATAAATTTAAGTGTAAAGAGTTGATGTGAAGACGGAAAAAGCAAATAGTAGGAGAGGTATCAGATCAATAACATGGCAGAAGTTCTGAAGGTGGCATGGGCATGGGGATGGCAGCAATTTGGGAAAAGGCTGCTCTGATCCCACCAGAACAGAAAAGTCATGATTCAGAATTGGCCCAAGTGGGCGCAGAGCCCCGGAGCTCCTGTAGGGTCAGCCTCAGGGCGAGGATGTGGGCAGCCTGGAGGCCAGCGGAGGGCATTTTCTCTTCTGGCGCTGGCTTCCTCCTCTCTGAAATGAAGAGTTCAACCTGTGGTTCCTCATGGGCGCTTGCACTTGTGTAGTGCCTGCTCGTCCGGGTCCTGGGGAGCTGCGATGCCTGCCCTGTGGAGAAGCTGCCCAGCAGCCCCATCTCAGTACCATCGGGCCGCGCCCAGGGCTGCGAACCCTGGCACTAACCCGGTGTTAATGAGCGTTCTCCTCTTACAGGTTAGGAATCTGAAGCCATGGGCGACTGGAGTTTTCTGGGAAGACTCCTAGAAAATGCCCAGGAGCACTCCACGGTCATCGGCAAGGTTTGGCTGACCGTGCTGTTCATCTTCCGCATCCTGGTGCTGGGGGCGGCGGCGGAGGACGTGTGGGGCGACGAGCAGTCCGACTTCACCTGCAACACCCAGCAGCCGGGCTGCGAGAACGTCTGCTACGACCGGGCCTTCCCCATCTCCCACATCCGCTTCTGGGCGCTGCAGATCATCTTCGTGTCCACGCCCACCCTCATCTACCTGGGCCACGTGCTGCACTTGGTGCGCATGGAGGAGAAGAGGAAGGCCAGGCAGGAGGAGGAGCAGCCGAAGACGGACAGCCCCAGCCCCCCGGAGCCGCCGCAGGACGGGCCCTCGTCGCGGGAGGACCGCGGCCGGGTGCGCATGGCCGGGGCGCTGCTGCGAACCTACGTCTTCAACATCATCTTCAAGACGCTGCTGGAGGTGGGCTTCATCGCCGGCCAGTACTTTCTGTACGGCTTCGAGCTGCAGCCGCTGTACCGCTGCGACCGCTGGCCCTGCCCCAACACGGTGGACTGCTTCATCTCCAGGCCCACGGAGAAGACCATCTTCATCATCTTCATGCTGGCGGTGGCCTGCGCGTCGCTGCTGCTCAACATGCTGGAGATCTACCACCTGGGCTGGAAGAAGCTCAAGCAGGGCATGACCAGCCTCGGCCCGGACGCCTCCCAGGCCCCGCCGGGCAC